CCCCCCCCCCAAGAAAGGGGGAAATAACCTCGGCCCCGGGGCGCATGCGCGCTGCGCGCCCACAGTGCCGCTGCGCGCACCTGAACGCGAGTCGTGGCCCAGCGACTTCCGCCGCCTGCCGAGGAGCTCACGCCGGCAACGGGCGCCGCGAGCCGGCCGCCCCCCTCCCGGTCCCCCGCTCTGCTCCCCACGGCTGGCCGAAGCACCGGCGCCGCCCTTGGCTCACCAGATAACGTGCCTGCCAGTCGTTAGCGGCGTCGGTCTCCTGGAATTCCTGCTCGATGGCGGCGGACATGGCGGCCGAGGCGAGGGTGGCCGCCGGAGCCCCGCACGCTCATTACCCCCCGGGGAGCGGCGAGCACGCTCCGCCGCCGCCCGCGCGCKCGCACATACACTCGCAACGGCTCCCGCGGCCGCCGCCGCCGCGCGCATGCGCGCCCCCGCCTACCGGCCTGCCGGGCCACGCCCCCGCCGGGGGGGGAAGCACCTGGGGTGACGTCACGGGGCGGGCGCGCGCGCAGGTGGCGGCCGTTARCGGCTGCCTCGCAGCGGTTGTGGAAGGTGGAAGGGCTGCGCGGCCAGAAAACTCTTCCTTTGATGGAAGTTGCTGAGCGCTGGTTGCTGCCAACTGTGATAAAAAAGACTGAAAAGTCATATTTTCCCTATAAAAAGTATAACTGTTTAACGGTAATCAGCAACGCAATGGCAATGCAAGCCCTCGACCCCGAAGTTGTGCTGTGAGGACTCAGTGGACTGCATTTAGAGTGCGCTTTCCAGCTCACACACCATGCAACTCCGCATGATTCAGCCTTTACATGCTGCCTGTTTCAAAAAGCAGAAGTATGAAAGTACAGACATGTCAGACAAATCACTGTCATATCCCTGTTGCAATCRTAAAAGCAGAAATGCAAAAATGCAAAGCACACCAACCCTCTGTGATTGCTTCAAAAAGAAGGTCCCTTATGAAACAGCTTCACAAGCGTTTAGCAAATTTAAAGGTCAAGCAAAGTTTAGCAAGGGCTCAGTTGCTCAAGCTTCAGGCAAATCTGCTTTACTGATTAGCATAATTAGAGAAGGGCTTTTAGCTCTTGAGGAAGGCAAGCTGCCCTTCACACCTCTGACCACGTCTCTGGGATTAGTGCGAGGGGATTGCAAAATGGTTGGTGTTAATTAGGGCAAAAAAAAAAGGGAAGAAACTGCTAGGAGTTTCTTCCTAGCAAGCCCAGGAGGACTTGCTGCCCGCTGTTCACASCCCACGGGGCGTTGGTGAGGAGGCCTGACCCCAGTGCGACCAAAAGCCCTGGGCTGAAGAGACGCAACTGCTGCTGTGACTGTGGGCACCACATAGGGTGAGCCGAGCCTGCCTTCCCCTCCATCATGCTGTTTCATGGCCACAAAACACAGGGACAAGGAGCGGTCGGCATCAGGTGTGAGGTGCACRTGTGGTTGCGCAAGAACGTTCTTTGAAACACAGAAGGGTTGAGGGGGGAAGCACCTCTGGAGATTGAGTACAAGCAGGGAGAGCACAAACAGGGACACCTAGAACAYGTGGCAGAGGAGCACAACCAGGTGAGTTTGAGTATCTCTAGAGAAGGAGACTCCCCAACCTCCCTGAGCAGCCTGTTCCAGTGCTCAGTCACCCTCAGAAACAGGTTTCTGTTTCTGACATCCAAATACCTGCCACCAGCTGCTGCATTCTCCTCTTCTCTAGGGCTGTGATCAATAAAGTTCTCCAAATCCAGTAGCTAAGGTTCTCTTTCACATTCTATAATCAAAATCTTATTTTTAATTATTTTTATACACTTGGGGGCTGTATGTGACATACAGCTGAAGCACAGCTGGTGGGATGTCATACACCAGTAAGTCCACTGCATGTTTTCCTGAGCACTTGAATGAAATCTTCAGTAGTTTTTCCCAAATGGAGAGTCCAAACTTTGAAAAATATGTAGGGATTAGCTTTTTTGGATCATTGTACCAGCCAGACTGAGGGTCAGATTGTCAGTCGTTTTGCAGGTGTTCTCTCATTAGTAATCACACTACAYGTGTTTTTGGTGAAATATAAACAGGACAACATCTTTCTTTATATTTCTGATTGAGGGGAGTAGAGGAGAATTTATGTGCCCATGCTCAATGTGAAGATGCTTTTTAATTATATATATATATMTCTCTATCTTTAAATCTATCAAATGACAAAAAGTATTCTCGGCCTCTGAGAAGTGTGATCTTGCACGGGCTGCAGGTGGAAAAGTAAACAGAAGGTCAGAAACTCTGACAAATAACAGACCTTAAACAAATGGAAAATATACTGCTTCCTCACTGATTTTAACCTCGAGCAGACTTTTCTCCAGGCACAAACTTGCTGAACAGCCTGAAAATGCAGGCAAATGGCATGCCTTAAATGCATGCCTTAAACTGCAGACCAGTGTCCCTTATTTTTCCCCCTCTCCCTCAGGAGCTCCCAGCCCCTGACATGGATCCCAGGCAGMGGAAGCTCCCGCCACTGCTGTGCCACAGTCCAGAGGAGCAGGAATGAGTTGCCCAATGACACATTATTTTGTCTTTGTTCTAGGACAAAGGCCAGGCAAGGCTTGGAGGTCTCTGCCCTATGGTGTGAGAAGACGTCACTCGAGGGGCCAAGGACAGCTCCGGCAGCCCAGGAGCTSGGTCGTCGCTCCTTGAGGTATGTGTGAGTCTGGAGAAGGATGCAGGTAGCTTTGGTACAAAAGCTCATGGTTTCTGCTCTTCTGATACACAGCTGTGTATCAAAAGCTTGTGCTTATGGTAACTGGGGACGTTGTCGAAACTGTGAAAGCAACTTACAGTATTAGGAGAGAGGGTTTTATTGTAGTAATTATGTTTAGACACTGTAATGCAAAACAGTGCCTAGAGACAGCTCACTGAAAAAATAAAGTAAGTATTTATTAATTGTGATTTACATGTGGATTACAAGAGTTTTAACTGGTAAATCAGGGTGTTTCTGGAAAAAAAATGCCACCTTTTGATCTTTGAGTATTATGGTTTTTTACTGCAAATATTCTGAAAATGTTGTGCCAGTTCTCTGTTTCCTGGGAGCTAAGTCCAGAATAAGCCCAGGACTACAGTTATGAAGGTCTAGGGAGGAAAATTGTATCTACAATATCAACTCAGTGCTCTCTTTAGAAAAATTCATTTATTCTATTGCCAATAGCATCTTCCAGTTCTGTGCAGAGTCTAGTCCATCTGCTAGCTGTGCATTCAACCCCAGATGAACTCCTATATAGACATGTAAACTCTTGAGATAGCTTGGGACATGCTCACAGTGGGATAACAGAGCTGCTATAATGTGTGGGATATTGTTATTGTCTTCCGGCTTAGTATAAATACAATCAAAGAGTTATTTCAGTGATCTCCTGTTAAGATGTCTGCCTTAATTCCATAAACYCCTTGTTGTGCTGGCAAAAAGGAGTCATCCTGAGGGAATGGTATCCATGGCAGTTCTGGTCTCAGCACTGCTTTTGGTCCCCCGGAGCAAGCTGTGTATTCTGTGCAGTATTGTCTGCAAAGCAAATACAAAGGCTCTTGGTGCTCGCACATCTAAATGGAAAAGACCATGTAAGGTAACTTTAAATGGTGTTTGTCCAGTGACCTTGGCCTRACAATTAACTTTAGTACCACTCTGATGTGGACTAAGTGTTTGTTCCTCCACACACTCATTTTTTTGGGTCATTCACTGGAAATTATCTAAGTATCACTTATTGGAAACGATCTGTTCTGTGCTGCTTTTCTGAGAATCATTTCAGATATTGGTAGATGAAGAACAAGTTCTTCCCCGAGGTGATTTTATTCACAAATACACTCCATATCAATATTGGCCTTTAAGGAATAAAGCTGTAATGTGCTTAAGCTTGCCAGGGTGTGAGAGCATGGGAACATATCATTCCTGATTTAAGTCTTATGGCACAAGGCCTAAAGGACAAGTGGATCCTCCCTTCCCCCAAAGAGCTGGATAGGAATGGAAATGCAGATGGGCTGGGCATACTTTTGGCATCTGGTGGGGAGCAGGGAAAGCTGAATAAAAGGCTCTGATGGTAAGAATGAAAGAGGGTTCATGTATTCTGTGCTTGTCCAGAGGAGCATTACGATTCCACACAACCAGGGTCTGTCTTCCTTGTCCAAGGGAAGGTGAAAGCTGTCATCACTGAAAGTGCTTGTCAGTCCAAATGGTTTTCTTCAGTTATACTACTGATTCCTCCCCTCTTGCAGTATTTTGGCATAAAACAAAATTAATTAAAAAAGAAATAAATATTTATAGCGAATCAAAAGTACTTGTAGCAGCAACAGAGGCAGGAGTGCAAGCAGACCTAGCAGGCTGGCATTTAGCTAGGTAAATCTATAAGCCATAGATAGACAGCAGTGGGAATGTTCAAAGTGTGTTAAAAAATGGCCATGCAGTAAAAGTGCAGGAATGATGGAAGCAGTAATTATGCTTTGACAAGAAGGACAACCCAGCTCTGCTTTGGGTGAGCAACTGCCCTAGAGTTTGGACCTCTAGGTAGAAGAAATTCTTGGCCAAGTTAGAGTGGAAAGGCTATGCATTCCAGAAATCTCTTCAGATTTGGGATTATTCACTAGAAACTGTGTGTTTGCATATAGAAACTGCCTACAGATGATGCAAACATTTCACCTTGAAAACTTACAGGGCGTTCTGATTTTTGAAGGTCCCTAGTTTATTAAATAATCGAACAATTTTCCTCTCAGATTTATTAGGGTCGCTCTATGTTTAGATCATTTGTAACTTACAGTTACTATACCAAAGCATGCATGATGTTTAGAAAGGTGTCTAAGTACAATTCTGGAAGCAGCTTCATGGTGCTTGGTAAATCTTTAATTCATGTTCTCTCGTAAGTCTGAAAGCAGATGATCACCATCCTACAACTTGTCTGTAGCACAGACTCTGTCTTCTAGTGGCTCCCTGCTTGATTATACATGTTATTTTCATGGATGCTCAAGGTTGTCTTCCACATTAAAAAATTAAGGACATTGTTTGAATTACAGTTGAAAAAATTGCAAAGCACTGCTCATATCACTGTTATTTGCTAGGGCAATTTCTTGTAAGAAAATACTATTTTGACAGAAAATGATTTTGTGCTGAGCAATATCAGTCAATGTTTCTGTTATAAATTTGTGCTCTCATTTCTTTGTTCCATTTTTCATCAGGGATTCCCAGCATCTGGACATAACAATTATATCTATCTTCATGAGCATAAACACCTCCAAATTGTGTTTGCCTCTTTTTTTTTTGGGGGGGGGGGAATTTGAAGCAAAATTGTAAATTTTTTGGCAATGTGATTTAAATTTTAATCTRTTTTGTAATTTATTTTTCTGCATTAGACAACTTGAAGCATCTGTATTACTACCTGTAATAATTATTTAAATAATTATTTAAAAATCATTATAACCATTTTCATGGTAACTCAAACCCACCACATGGCAGTGAGCCTTCAACATCACTTCTGTCTCCACAGTGCTCTCGGGGTAGCTCTGTGCAAGATTTGTGATATCTTTGCCTGTTTTCAAATTGACACTAATATATCTGATTTCAAACAGCTTCCCGTATAAGCTCGTCCTGTTGAGCTAATCAGCAGCCCTGGAGGAGCCACATTCTGTGAGTCACCGTTCTGGTGGCAGGGCTCCATGAGTGTGTGGCTGCAGACTTGTCTGCTGAGATGTTCTGGGCCAGGCTGTGCAGAGAAAGGTGTTCACAATTGCTGGTTTACAGAGACMTTGAACCCTTTAATTCCCCCAGGGAATACTAGATAAAGTTTTGCAGATCTCCACTTACAGAAGGAGGAACCAGACTTTGCTTGTTGGTGGCAAACAGTCCCAGAGAAATTTGCTAATTTGTCGGGCAATTTGATTCCTTAATGAAAAAAAAAAGAAAAAGTAGGATATGTAACATGTATCCTTCCTTTTGCCTTTAATAAAGAGTTATAATGCATTTGCAACTGATCTGCCAAACTAAAGACCCTTAAAAAAAGTCTATGTGTTGGATAACAATTCTACTACGTTTTCTGAATGCATGGTATTTGGTGCAGTCATTTAAAACTTGTAATTTATGCCCTCCTGGAGTATGAATTGCTATAACTRCCACACCGGTTTGTTTCTTTTCTCAAAAGAAAGCAAACATAGCCAAAGAAGGATCCCTGGCAGAAGTTTTCCAGTTGGAATGCTGTCAAAGTCTAACATCTCATTTGAGCCAGTGGAACAGTTCCAGCAGTTCAAGCCACGAGGCTACTATTTACTGGAATTCAGAACTTRGGTAGAAAGCTCACTTGTACAGCATGTGTTCAGTATTCAAGTGGGTGTATCAAATTCTCGGCGTCTTTTGAGKTTTTTTTTCACATTGTCTCACTGCATGCAAAGAGATATCCCTAGGTATGAGAAGATACCATTTTATTTTTCAAAACCTTCTGATAGTTTTTCTCTAACAGACCACTGCAGCTTTTTAGTGGCAGACATTTGTGATTTGCCACAAAGAAAAATACTTGTTAAGGGGTCCTAGTTCACCATTTTCTAATGTGTCACATTTT